GAGGCACAGGCTGAAGGTGGAGGCCATGCACGAGGCTCTCTGCTCTAGGGACACAAATCTGTGGGGTGTGCCCCAGGAAAGGCCAGACAGAGTGTCCTCAGGCAAGGGCGCTGGAGCAGAGGGCAGTGACAGACACTCAATCACCCAAGGACCAAAAGAGCCCCTGCCCCTTTTAGAGATTAACTGATATTTCAGCTTCCAGTCTTCGTGGAACTGTCTATCTCTCTACATAATCCACAAGTCTGTTGTTGATCCTATTTTCTATACATCAAATCTTTTCTTAAAACATCATTTGGAGAAGGCCATGGTGGTAAACACCTGTAATTTTAGCACTTTGGAAGGCTGAGGCAGGAAGATCATTAGTTAGAACCCAGCTTGGGCAACATAGTGACTTAGTGAGACCCTGTTTTAAAATTGACAAAAATAAAAGATGGCTGGGGATATAGCTCAGTGCAAAGGCTTTGGGTTCAAAAACACAAATCATTTGGGGCCAGTGATGGATAGCTTAAGTTCACTCCATGCTTACATATTCTTTTTAGTATATGTGCTGCTGAAGCTAGCGTGTACATGTGCTTTTTAAAAGGCATCATCTTTCTTACCTACAGTGGCTCTCATCTTGCCCTCTGGTCCATATGCCGACGATGGCAAAAGAAAAAAAACTCTACTTGCCAATTAAAGCTAAATTGTCCCCATTTTGTTCATCCGATCCTGAGAAGGCTACATAGCCAGTCAACTCAAAGCCAAACTTTGGGGTAAGACTGATTGTTCATTCTCGGGATGTCTTCCTTCCTCCTTCTCTTCTCAAAGTGGCAGTGTGCAGGAGGCGTTGCATAAGCCCCTAGGCCCTGGGAGCAAGGACCTCAGCGATGTGGAGCTTCTCCACGGGGTGGGGTGGCTTGTCTGCATCTGAAGCTGAGCTGTCCCACCTGGCTCTTTAGCCACCTGGCAGTTTTTGCTGAAGTCTTTGGTCCCTGTCTCAGGTGCCAGCTGGAAATGTTCCATTTCCAATCCCCTAATCCTAGCTACTCTGCTCTCAAAACTTTTGTATCTCACTGAGCACATTAGTCAGCTTTTTATTTTGGTAATAAACATCTGAGATGTCCTCCCCCAGTTAATAGCTCTAGATTCCTCAGATGCCCCTACGTGAGCACCAGTTCGAGGGTTGGGGCCCTGGGGACTGGAGACCTAGGAAACACTCCCCTCTCTAGAAGAAAATTAGTCCAGGGTCAGATCCCAGGTTTTTGTAGCAGATATAGTTAATGTAGCTCATGAAAAGAAAGGGGAAATGGGAGGATGTCTCTGAGGCTGCCAACTCCATTGGTCATCTATCTTTAGCATAGCTGGTAGAGACCGTGAGGCGAGTCCTCTCCGGAGCTATGTAGTGGTCAACAGGCAGCACTCTGGAATGCACAGGACCCAGCATCTTCAAGCAACCCACATCACAGTAGACGTCTTGAAAGAAAAATTCCTGCCAGTCTTGATTCAATCCAGTGCCAGGCTGGCCACCAGCTGAGGCTCCATCACCCAGGGCAAGCAGCGTAAGGCTGACTAAAAAGAGGCACAATCTGGTCCAGCGATTTCTCTGTCCAAAAACCCAGAATGGCTACAAAGTCAACGGCTCCAAAGGCTTCAAAGAGGCAAAAGGACTAAAAAAAAAAAAAAATTAAAAACAAGAAACAATCTCAAAATCATCCAGCCCAAATATTTCACTACAAATCACCTGGTTTCTCCAACATCCCTGGCTCCATCCCCAGCCAAGGACACATTTTTCCATTCCATTCTATGGTGAAGGACATTGAATTATAAGTCAAAATCCATGGATTCTGATAACAACACTGTGCTGACTGCTTGGCCTTCAGCAAACCCTACACCCTCTCTGCTGTTTGGTGTGCACATCTGTAAAATGAGGAGGTTAGAGCATCTCTGACCCAACCTCCAAGTCTAAAATTGGGTTGTTTTCATGTTTATAGTACGAAGATGTTAAAAAAAAAATCTCAGCACCTTTGTTGATCAAAAGCTACCAAACTTTGGATTTAATTATCATTTAATTCTTATTATCTTGTGCAATGCTAAGCCACTGAAATGTCATCGAGTAAGCATCTGAAATGATTGACCCCAGTTATCCCTGTTCATCAACTCTGAGGACAAACAAATTCCATAGCAACACAGGCATTCAAAATAGTTTTGACCTTCTGTGGAGAAATAGTCTAATTATAAGCATACGGTGTACGTGTAATCCATTTCCCATGGTGCCCTTGCTTGGAGCACCTACCATAATTCATGCTAGCAGGAGAGTTAAAATACACACATGTTAGGATCTGATGCAAAATGACTGTCTTTTATGGTTTACATTTACTACAAAGGGAGTTAACTAGTAAGATGTACGTGTTTTGGGGTGCTCTGTGTGCTTTTACAAATGTTTTTTCTCTTTGATGATTTAAACCACATGTAGAGGTATTTAGAGGATTATTTTATCAAGAATTCTCCAGTGTAAAAGAAATACTAGGGCAGAGTCCACAGGTTTATGCAAGATGTGAATGCATGTGTGTGAATGTGTGGGGGAGTGTGCACTCACACACACACATGCACACATGCACACACACACACACAGGCTGGTATAAATCATCCTGATCCCCAAGCAGCTGGGCTGCTGTATTACTAAATAGGGGTTCTCACTTTAATTTCATTTTGGTTATCTCTGAAAAAATATTTTTGGTGCAAATATAAATTCTGTAGAATCATGGAATGTGTTAAGCCTTTAACAAATGAATATTTAATGGTTGTGAGGGGAAAAAATCATAAAATAACAGGAAACAAAAATTACAGGAGTTGGGAAAGCTATCTTCTAACTTTGCAAAGCTGGGGAACTGTTGAGGGGAGGCAACATTATCCCATGCTTCAAATTTAATGCTCCAGAAAAACATTTCCATGCCAGACTCTGCAAAGGTCCCAGTGGAGATCAAGTCATACTCAAGTCATACTCACAGGTGATGTCTCATTGGCAACCATATTATGGGTTTTAGCTCGGGAGCCTGAGGCAGCAGTAGGTTTTCATCCCTTTTGCCAATTCTGATGAATGAACAGTAAGCTTACCAGTGTTCTCTTGACAAACACTCTGAAGCTACATGGAGATGGGGACCCTGACTGATTGTTGATGTTTGCAGCAGAGGGCAGAGGGTGGCAACATATGTGCTGCACCTTCTCCTGTGTCCCCAGCAGTGTCCACAGCTTGCACCACTGTGCTCGGTGCTGGAAGCACGGTCTCCATCACACACCATTCTCCTCATGGCATCCTTCCAGGATTTAAAGTAGCTTGCACTTGACATCAGTTACAGAATTACAGTCAGACATCAATTGATTTCATTGTCTACCTGCCTCACCTCTTTCCTTGCTCATCTTCCCACTTAGGTCTTTGATTTCTTCCCTATTACTCTCCATTCCATACCCCTTGTTTCCAGGGGAGTTGTGAGTCCCTCATCGTCTTCCACAGTCCTTAACTCCCTCCTGTCTTTATTCCTGCTGTCCTGCTCCTCGGCCTGCCTGCCTGACAGTCTGGGCCAAGTCTCTCCTCAAAGACTCAAATGTGACATCCAATGATTCCTGTTCTTAGCCCCGCCCCCTCAGCTTTATGTTCTCTGTTCTACACTGAATGATCACATCCTTGTTTTTATGCTGATTTATAACCATTCTCTGTTTCCACAGGGGGGTGATTTCCCTCTCCTGTTAAAGTGGAGTAACAAATTAATAAAAGATAAGTACAACATGTTTTCATTTTCCATACCCAAAAATATTGCTTCTTTTTTTTTTTTTTTTCAGTACCGGCAATTGAACACAGGACCTTGTCCTTGCCAGGCACGTGCGGCGCCACTGAGCTACATCCCTGGCCCTATTGCTTCTTAAATAATGAATAAGTTCTTTGTCAAGTTATGACTGTTAGGATATATGGATGAAAGTCACACATTACCTTAAAATATTCTTTTTTAATTCTACATAACATATAAAAGAAGAAGAAAATGAAGGATACTAGCATTTTCTCTATACTTTCTAGGAAGCATGATCCAAAAATATGGTGAACAATTAATTTTTTGGAAAAATTACTAAAGTAGAAAACACATTGCCATTCATCTCAACCCCCCCCCCCATTTCATGTGCATTTATCCCATCATTCTCGCCACTGTTTGAAGCAGCCCTGGAAGTCCTCTTTCATGAGGGTCTTTAGTTGCACTGCTGTGGCTGCCTCGATGTTCTGAATCAAATCAAAACGTTTAGCTTTCAGAGTCATTTTGACTCTGGGGAAGAGATAGAAATTGCACAATCGCACAGTGCCAGGTCCGGGGAATAAGCTGGACAAGGACACATCGCAATGTTTTTATGAGCTGCCTTTCCATTGGATGACACATGGCAGCAGCATTCACTATATTTCTTATCACATCTTGTAAAGACACAAAAGAGGACTTCCAGAACTGCTTTGGAAAATGGCAAGAACAATGGGATAAGAGCGTCTGAAGTGAGGGGGAATATTCTGAGGGGAATTAACAACAACGTGCTTTTTACCATACTAAAAATTTTAAATTAAACATTCACTGTATTTTCTGATCACCCTTTCATGTTCAGACACAGAGTTTTATTTGCATAATCTCATTAACAGTTTAAATAAATATCTTAAGAAAGATACTATTCATCCACATTTTCCAAGTAAGTAAATCAAGGCTCAAAAAGAGTAAGGGATATATTCAAGGTCACAGAGCTAATAATAGTGTTTCTGTTGTATCTCCTATTTGGCAAGATCCAAAAAGGTAAGATAAGAGTCTTTCATCATAGAAAAAATAAAAGAGGTCCAAGGTATTGAATGGACCAAGTATTTTGAAGTCATTAAACATTGAAGAATTCTCTTTTTATATAAATAGGAAAAGGAAATATATTACCACACTTCTTTACTGTAATCTTGACAGAGAAAAAGCTAGTCTTTTGAATGGACAATTCAAAACTTGGGCACCTACCTCTTTTCATAAGTGGAAGCAGATAAAATCAGTTTGCTCCATCCAAATTCACTTCTCATATTGATATCACTCATCTCAACTCCCATGTAAACAATCCTTTTTGTTTTCATCTTTGTATTCATCATTTCTCTTCCTTAATCTCTCCTGGTACTCAATGCCAAAACAACCAAGAAGAGAACAAAAAACAATGCAGGCAGAATCAACAGCAAATCTTCACATTAAATGATGAAAATAAAAAAGCCTCTCTTAGTATATGATTCTATTAATATAAGATTTACTTTGGAAAAGAAAAATCTATAGAAGAGAGATGAAACTAGTGATTTTCAGATGGGGGAGAAGGAGGAGGTTAACTCTAAGGGCCAGAAAGGACTTCACAGGGTGGTGAAAATGCTCTGCTGTCTTCACTATGGTGGTGATATGTGACAATATTCACAGGCCAAAACTCACAGGACTGTACACCTAAGAAGGATGGATTTCACTATACATAATTATGTGTCACTAAATCTACTTTTTAAAAAATAAGACAATTACAAGACAATAGGGCCAGGGATTTAGCTCAGTGGTTTCGCTGCCTGCTGCGCAAGCGCAGGGATCCGAGTTCTATCCCCGGTACTGAAAAAAAAAAAAGACAATAGAGATATTGTTTGGACATGGGTATATCCCATTTGCCTATTATAAATGTATTTCCACTCAGATAGTAATATTATGCATGAGTTTCTTTTTTGCCTAGAATTTAAGAGCAGGAAGAGCATTTAGATTGGATTGGCCCACACTTTTGTGGAACTGAGAATGTCCTAGGTAGAGAAATAAAGATCCTAGTCTGAGCCTTTCCTCACTTATTGGAAATTAAGTAAAACTTTGGTTGGATGGATCCTTCTAGAAGGAGTTGACACCTTCTCCATTTGCAAAAAATTTGAAATTGAGAAATCAGTTGAAGGACTAGGAACAAAGCTTAGCGGTCACACACTTTCCTAGCACGCACAGGGCCCTCAGTTCAAGCCTCAGGGAAGCACCAAAAGAAAACAAAGGTCGAGTCAGATCTCTAAGCCTAGATTTCCAGGTAATCCATTCCAGAAACTTTAAAACCAAAACAATCATCATGATAATCATTACAAATGAAACAACACCCATAAAATTATTGAACTTCTGCCCTATCAAACAACAAAATGAAGGATCACATGTGGCTATCACTATTAGTGATAATGCAAATTATTTTGTTATCAATTTACTAACACTATATTACAACATTTTATAGTTACCATTGATTATATTAACCAGAATGTTTAAGAAACATTGATAAAGCCTTTAATTTTCTTTACTTCTAGTGAGACTTTTTAAACTGTTTATGTGTTTAAAATGTATATATGATTAATCATTAAAAAATCATTAATCCACTAATGAATTTTATGGAGTTACTATATGTATCTAACTTTTCAGTATACTTTTAGACAAAAGTCCTCCTTTGGACTTTCATTTTTTTTTATAACATTAGCTATAATATTTATTTGCTTAGTGACTAGTATAACCATGAATGTTATATTAACCCACCTAAATTTTATGGTAAGAAATTTTAAATGTCCCAGGCCATCAGTTGATTCTAAAGAATAGAAAGAAACTGTGATCATTACCTAACTAACGCAGCTCCCTACCAAGTATAAAATGGTCCCATTTTGTAAATATGTTTTTAATTCTGCTGTCTAAACAGAAAACAAAATATATACAGAAAAAGTTCATCTACTTGATGGCTTATGACATCATTTCTAAAATTATTTTTAAGTGACACAAAAATTGGTAAGAGCACTAGCTTTCAGTGTCATTTGTGTATAGCAACGAGCACAATAATCTAATTCATTCTCAACTGTAATATAAATATCAATACTCACTTTATTTACATCTCTTAAAAGTTCAGCAAATTATTTAGTAACAATTAGCTTCAGATATTGTTATGTTTTACAAAGACAAATAAATAGTGTACTTCCTAGAAAAAGGCCACTTGCTAAAGCAATAGACTAATTGAATTTGAAACATGTCCACAACAGTTAAAAGAGCAGGCATTGAAAATTGTCAGGTTGAACAATGAGAACCAACTGAGAATCTTATAGTTTCAAAGAGTTGTTAATAACACCACTTCCTAAATGTCTAATTACACTGTTTCAAATACAAACTTTTGGAATCTATGTAGTACAGAGTTTTTGATACTATACATCACTTGTGGCAAAGAAGTGTGGGACAAGTTACTTTAGATTCTTTGCATCTTATCTATAAAATGCAATCAATAGATATCTCATAATATTGTTGAAAGAATTGCATGAGATAACATATGGAAAACTCATAGAAGAGTACCTAGAATATAGGGAGAACTTCTTAAGTGTTAGCTATTGTTATTTTTGTTGTTGATGCTATTATCATACTAGCTACAGTTTTGCTGGACTATTTTCCAGACAATAATATATTTTAATTTCCTTTATCCTTGCAAAATAGCATTATTTCCATCTAACAGATGGGAAAACTGATATCAGAAAATTAAAATGATTTGTCCAAGGCTCTTCACCCTAGACAAAGCCCAAATTCACACCAAAATCTGCTTTGCCTTAGAATCTGAGCTCTTCCATTCTAATGCTCCAGTGTCTTTTGTCTTCAGACATTTAAGAGAATAATCAACATGTTCTTTATTCAAAATAGAACAATGAAGATAACTTTTGAAACACTCGATGTAAGAATGCAATTTTCAATTACCACCAAGAACATCCTAGAAAAATAAACAAAAGAGATATTGGGGGAGCTAAATAAATATGTAGGACTACACACACGGGTTGAAGAAGTTTGGGGTGGGGCAGGTCTGTTGCAAGGTAAGGTCAGTAATGTCACTCATAAGCCACGTGCCTCAAGCTGTGGCAGGTTTGCTTGGAGAGGTCATTTCCTGGTATCCTAAGACTGAGGCAGTCTAAGTGGTTAGTTACACCTTCACCTTGAGGGCTGGGCCTGCAGAGAGTGTGTGTGTATAGGAGGTGACAGTGAATTGACATCTCATTTTTGTTGACTTGGTTTTAAAGGACTGCTAGATTTACTTTTATATATCATTCTACTCCCTATCAAGTTCAATTTTAAATGTTTTGAATTGCTTATACCATTCAACAACCTTTCAAACCTGAATGTTGTCATGGGAACATCTGTCATAAGAACTGTTCATACCTAGCTATAGCAGAAGATGCTGCCATGTAGAATTAGGAAAGTCCAGAAAACATGGCCAAGAGGCACACCAAGTTGAAAGTACTTGAGGACAGGTGTACTGCAATGTAACCTTTGCAGTGGGACCTACAGCAGGGAACTTAGGGAAACTAGTAGAAATGTGATCCCAGTATGAATGAAAGACACAGAATTGACAGCTGCAGTTCCTTTGCCCCTGGTCTCTCTGCTCAAGCCTGCCCTTTGCTTCTAATTTTGCATCTTGACCTCAGTGCATTGATTCCTGATTTCAATTAACAATTTCTCAAACATGTGTCTGTTATTTTGAAATCGAGCTTTCTAAAACATGAGCCTAAACTGTCCAAAAAAGACATTTCTCTGCTATAAGGGGACAACAGATACAGATATTTCAGCTCTTTAGAATAAAACACAGTGCAAATGTTGAGTATATATGCAAAAAAAGAATATCCTAGTTTATTCTCTTATGAGCCAGATAATTAACCTTGCACTATCCAAATGGAAGTATCTGCTAGCCTTAATTAATTCATAAATGAGATTCATTAAATAAAGTAGATTTGCTGTAGTTAAAAATATGCTCTAGAAAGTTAGCAGAATTATTAACAAGAAGGAACGTGATCTAGCCTCATAGGCAACTGGCCAGAGGAGCACATTCTATTCTGCAGAGACAACTAAGGATTTCCCTAATTCTTTTCTCTTGTTGGCAGTGGCAGTATCCTGACAACTCTCCCTGCAAGGCTATTACAAAGAACACTTATAACACACTCCTCTTGTTCTCATAGCACTTATTTCCTCTACAGCACATAGAATATGCTTTTGTGCTTTCATGCCTTGTTTATAATGTTTATTTTCTCCATGAGTAAGGTGATGAACACTCTATCACATTCGTTTTTTCTATTTTCCTTGATGTTCAGATACATTTGTTGAGTGTAATAGAATTTAATCAAATTCCAAATAGAAGCTTGTCATTATCACCCCATCTCTGTATTCATCGCTACTAATCCATGTAGACAGTCACATGAAAAAGCACAAAAACTATTGAAACCAATGGGAATTGGCCAGTAAAGCATGAACTAGGACATAAGAGCAGATGTTTAATATATTACAATGAACAATTAACCATCCTCCAAAGACTGAAAAACACAGGATCAAGTCACTCAGTACTGACCAAAAGCTTTGGGTTTGTTTTTTGGTTTTTGGTTTTTTTCTCTTGCCTGCCAATATGCCTGACAAGATTTTTGTACACACACACACACACACACACACACACACACACACACCAAAAGGAAAATGAAAAAGTAAAGAGACATTATGGTGTACAGTAAAAAGTGTGTTCTCAGGACAAGTTCTCCATCTCAACTGGTCTGAGCTTTGAAAGTTACACCAGCTGAAATAGAAAGTTTTTAAATGGATGTAACTCAAGAGCAATAACCTGAATAATTTATGTTTTGTAGTCCAAGAGCTCAAAATGGGAACAGTGAGCAAAGATACTTCCCATGTGTGTGAAGACGGAAGGATGACATGATCATTACCAGTACCATTGTGTCCCGGTGCCACCATGGATGAGAGCATATGAAATGTGGGTTCCACCAGAAATATACAATGTTGTGAGATGTGGATTCCTGAGTGCAGTCAAGGTGGGATTCTAGGCTCAAATCTGACACATTAGCATGTAGTTATTGTATCTCCAATCTCCATAGTTTCTTACTATGACAGCTTTCATCACACACATTAAAGAAGAGGTGGAGAATACGTGTGGTCAGCAGATTTATTTTTGGTTCTGAAAGAAAGCCGCATCCTTTAATTACCACTTACCATCTTATTGCTCCAATTATTACTGCAACTTTGAAATAATTCTTATTTGACATAGGCTGTTTAATCAAGAACAAACAAGACCACACAGCCTCCTGATTGATACATTAAAAACATATGTCTATTAT